GCCAATTTTGGAGCATTGGATTTGTAAAATGGATTATGTGTTCAAAGTTTGTTTGAGAAAAAAATTGAAAACGTATCTGTCTCTGTGGTGCAATTGGTTTAACGCATTCGGCTGTTGATTGAAAGGTTGGTAGTTCAAGCACAGCTGTGGATGTTCTATGCTTTGGGCAATTGATAAAAAAGTTTTGAGTCAATTGAAATTGTAGAAATTGATGAAAACGACTGAGCTAGCCAGGCAGGCAAAAAATTAATTAAATTCATAGCTGTCTCTGAGGCGCAATCTGTTAGCGCGTTCGGCTTTTAACTGAAAGGTTGGTGGTTCAAGCCCACCCTGGGACGGACAATGCTATTGGTCATTGATCAAAATGTTTTGAAGGCTCGATGCCATGATCCTTAGATTAAGAGTCTAATGCTCAACCGACTGAGCTAGGCAGGCTGACATGCTACCTAGTAAAAATTGCCAATTTTGGAGCATTGGATTTGAAAAATAGATTATGTGTTCAAAGTTTGTTTGAGAGAAAAATGAATTTGTAGCTGTCTCTGTGGCGCAATTGGTTAGTGCATTCGGCTGATAACTGAAAGGTTGGTGGTTCAAGCCAACCAGAGACAAACAATGCTTTTGGTCATTGATAAAAAAGTTTTGAGTCAATTGATATTGTAGAAATTGATGAAAACGACTGAGCTAGCCAGGCAGGCAAAAAATTAAATAAATTCATAGCTGTCTCTGTGGCGCAATCTGTTAGCGCGTTCGGCTTTTAACTGAAAGGTTGGTGGTTCAAGCCCACCCTGGGACGGACAATGCTATTGGTCAATGATCAAAATGTTTTGAAGGCTCGAAGCCACGATCCTTAGATTAAGAGTCTAATGTTCAACCGACTGAGCTAGGCAGGCTGACATGCTACCTAGTAAAAATTGCCAATTTTGGAGCATTGGATTTGAAAAATAGATTATGTGTTCAAAGTTTGTTTGAGAGAAAAATGAATTTGTAGCTGTCTCTGTGGCGCAATTGGTTAGTGCATTCGGCTGATAACTGAAAGGTTGGTGGTTCAAGCCAACCAGAGACAAACAATGCTTTTGGTCATTGATAAAAAAGTTTTGAGTCAATTGATATTGTAGAAATTGATGAAAACGACTGAGCTAGCCAGGCAGGCAAAAAATTAAATAAATTCATAGCT